TAGACCAGGCTGGCCTTGAACTCAGAGATCCATCTGCCTCTGCCTCCCAAGAGTTGAGATTAAAGGCATGTGCCACCACTGCCCAGAGATTTTCTGTCTTTTCAGAGGTCAGTGTTTTGGAAAGTTACCCATTTCAGTGGAGCCATAGAAAGTGTTTTTATAGAGTTGCTCAAGGAGGTCTCCCGGTTTTAGTTCTCCGTAGTCTTGTAAGGAAAATTGAGTGCCCTGTGAGCAGTGCCACAGAGGAGGCATGGCCAGCCTAGATGGTCTTCTGACTATGTGTGTCCCACGGGGAGGAGACTGCATTTGTGTCACGCTGACCCACAGCCCCCTCTTCTCCCACAGATGGAGCCTGTGACCCTCCAGAATATTCGCGGCAGAGTCCTCCAGAATGCTGTGCGGGTGTGGAGCAACATCCCAGGGTTGAAGAGGTACCTCTCAGGGCAGGGGGATGGTAAAGACTCAGAGGCAGAGGAAACCGTGCACTCTGGTAGAACCAGGCCTACGCAGTTCCATGCTCCAACCGGAAGTATCTGAGCAACCTCTTGTCCACCACAGCCCTGGACACAATGGGGCTCAGCATGTCCCCATGCACTGAGGGACTCTCCCTTTCTCCTGATCTTGCTTCAGGACTGAACAAGAGTTCCCTCACCCTCAGGGGGAAGTCCAGACTCCTAACCATGGGCCTCAGGACACATTCTCAAACTGTGCAGGCCAGTTACCCCCACCCAGCTTTCTGAAGCTCCTGTCCTGCACACACTCATGCTCACACCCACACAGTCATTCATATATACTGACGCAACTCCCTAACGCATTCAGACACCCACATACAGACACCCACTTGCTCACAGACCTGTGTGTAGATTGAGCCAGTTTGTGTCTTCCGAGACTGCTAAATCGTGTCCTTTCCTGCCCTATAGTGAGTTTCTGGAAACTTCCCACCCACCCCTGCATCCCAGCATTCTCCTGGCTCCTAGTCACTATGCCAGTCAGGTATCACCGGGTTCCCTCACCTGGATGCTTTCAGGACTTGGGTTGAGGTAGAACTGAGGAGACATAATGCTCCCAAACATTCTTTTTGGATGCTTCTAAGTAAGGTATGGTCTCCTGCCTGCCGTCCCTTCCCAATAGATACTGTGGGATAGGCCAGGAGAGGGACAGTGAATGAGCTAGACAATGGGCAAAAGGAGCCAGGCTCTACTGCTAGCTATGAGAAGGCATGACACAGGCATGTCACACATCAGGTATATCACACACAGGCTTTCTATTCCCAAACAACAAACATGCTTTAGAAGTAATCCCTGGCCAGGCAGTGGTGGTGCACGCCTCTAATCCCAGCACTCGGGAGGCAGAGGCAGGTGGATCTCTGTGATTTGAGGCCAGCCTGGGCTACAGAGCGAGATACAGGAAAGGCGCAAAGCTACGCAGAGAAATCCTGTCTCAAAAAAACCAAAAGAGAAAAAAAAAAAGTAATCACAAATAGTCCAGCCAATCCTAGTACATGTGACTTGCAAGAGAGGCACCTGGCCCCCTATGGGGTCCTGCCAGGTTTGGAGCATGGAGGGACAGCGTCTTTCTTCCTGGGCCCCCGTCCCACCTCTTTTCTGATTGAGGTACCTCCTTTCTGATTTAGGGCTCCCAAAGGAAGTTGAAGGCTGGGTGCACCTGCACCTAATACCTAGGGTCACTTGGCTCCTGGAGGGAACAGGGTGACTTCACAGTGGGGTGCAAGACTCGAGCCCACTGAGTAGGAATTATCTTGCTAAGTTCACAGACAGCTTGTGTATTGGCTGCCTCCACATGACCACCGTCCACATGAAGACAGGGTAGGATGGAGGGAAAGAAGAGGACATGTTTGCTGCCATGCTCTTCATTGCTTCTGTCTGCCCCAGAAAGATGGAGATGGTCCTTAACTGTACGGGGGGCTGGGCACACAGAAAGGGGGTGCTAGGTGTCATATACTAGGGGGACTCCGGGACGAAGCTCACATGCTCTAGGAGCCCCTGGGGCATGGGCGTCCCACTTGTGCAAGCTGGGTTTGTCTTGTCAGGCCTCCTGGGAACAGTGCCTGTGCATCCTTGAAGCGTCTCATTGATCTTTACCCTTGCTCTGTGTGCGTCACTGCCTGAGACAGCTCACATCCACTCCTGGCAGCTTCTAGGCTCCCACTTCACACCAAAAAGGGGATATGCAGGGCTGAATCAAAGGTCAAAGGTCTCAGCTGGGGTGTAGTGGGAAGTAGGACACATGCTTGCTTTTTTTTTTTGGTTTTTCAAGACAGGATTTCTCTACATAACAGCCCTGGCTGTCCTGGAACTCACTCTGTAGACCAGGCTGGCTTTGAACTCACAGAAATCCACCGGCCTCGGCCTCCCAAGTGCTGGGATCAAAGGCGTGCGTCACCACCGCCCAGCTCATGCCTTTGCTTTTAATCCCAGCAGAAGCAGGTGGATTTCACTGGTCTACATAGTAAGTTCCCAGACATCCAGAGCCACATAGTGAGATACTGTCTTGAAAGGGAGATATTAGAGGTTTGGTCTTTGGGAATCCTGCCTGTTCCCACTCCATCCATTCATTTCCTCCTCTGCTTTAAGATGTGGAGACACTGGTAGGTCCTCCTGAGGGCACTCACCCTAGAGGCCACAGGCAACCTTCACCTTGTGGGGATCTTGTCTCCCCACCCCACCCCACCCCACCCCATCCCCAGCCCAGGCTGCATTTCTAACAGGTGACTCTTTCCTTGCTAGCAAACACTTGGCCCTGACACCAAAGGAGCAACAGTCCTTGGAAGGCCAAGTCAGAACCAGAGCCAAGATGGCCTCCCAGAAAGACGACCCCCTGGTGAAGAACTGCCTTCTCCCCCTGAGAGAGTATTTCAAGTATTTTTCTCAGAACCCACTTCCTCTTTACAAATGAATCATGATACAATGAAAGAAGAGGTTTTCCTAGAACCACAGCAGCCTTCCTCCTATGGCCTTTTCTCTTGGCAGGTTGTTTTTTTCTGCTTGCTTGCCTGTTTCTCCTGTTCGGTTCCCACGATGCCTCCCACGCAGCCCACTGTGGGGATGGGAGGCGCCCACTTCTGTGGACAAGATCCTGGTGGGATAGCCCACCATGTATCTCCAAAAAAGTGTGTGTGTGTGTACCTGTTGTGAAGTTTTTTCAAATATAGGCTTGTTCCCGGTGGAGTTTTGGTGTGGTGTGTGAGAGTGAGGCCTTTATTCTGTCACAGAATAAATGTCACAGTGGTAAAACAATGCATGCCTGATATCCTGCCGTGGTCATATAGCACCTTCATCACCTGCCATTTGCTTTGACGGCTGAAATCACTCACCCTCCTGTTGTTACCCGAAGTGACCCAAACCATCGCTTAAAGCTCACACCTAGTGAGCCGACCATTCAATTTCTGGGTCCTCCTAACACAGTGGGACCTTGCAGAAGTGGGTTCCCAACAGCTCTCGGCTGTTGGTGTTCCGATGAGGCTGAATCCGCTGGGAAATGTGGACTGGCCAGTTTGTGAACTGTGTGGTGAATCCTGGTTGGCCGGAACCATTCCCCCACATACCCCGGATGTAGACTTCAGACGCCGAAGAGACTCAAACTGCCTGAGCACTGCAGCTGGGCTCAGGACCCACTGGGTCCGTACTGGCACTGTCCTTGCTCTGGGCAGTGCTCTGTGAAAGGAGACTGGACCGGTGTTGGATGCTGAAGTAGGAGAGGAGCTGTCTTGGGTCAGTAGATAGGACATCTCCATGTCTCGGGCAATTCTGGGGCCAGTAAGGTGGTTCGGTTCATGGGGTACAGATGCTTGCTCCCAAGCCTAATGACGTGAGTTCGAGTCTCAAGACCCCGCTCCTGTAAGTCATCTTCTGTGGCCTGTGTGTATGTGAGCACAGGTTACAGGAATTCCTGCTTAGGCCAGGGGTCTACCCACCCAGGTCACCCGATCAAGCAGTAGAAGCAGAAAGCATAAACCCATGACCACCAACAACCAGATAAATGTGGCAAGGGCTCTGGAGAGAGTGGCAGCCACTCCTGCCCAAGCTTACAGTACCATGGATCTCCACAAATTCATGCTTTTTTAAAATTTACTTATTATTGGATTGATTGGTTGATTTTTCGAGGCAGGGTTTCTCTGTATAACAGTCCTAGCTATCCTAGAACTCACTCTGTAGATCAGGCTGGCCTCAAACTCACAGAGATCTGTCTGGCTCTGACTCCCAAGTGCTGGGATTAAAGGCATTTCTTTTTTAAAAAAAGTGAGGCGGCCGGGCAGTGGTGAACCATCTCTCTAGCTCCCAGAGCTGTTGTGTGTGTGTGAGTGAGAGAGACACAGAGATGATTAGCTGTAGCTGCCCCTAGGAAGTGGACAGACCCTAAGAGAAAAAAGTGACTTCCTCCAGCCAGGAATCACTCTCAGTATCCACAAATGTCTGTGATGTTAAAGGCAGTCGTTGTTGTGGTCTCCAGGGATGTGGCAAGGCCAAACTGCCCTGCTAGAAGGTTCACTGGTCTCTGAGTACCCAGCAGACACTTGAGGCTACACACTTTCCACATTTTGTTCCATCATATTTGGAAACCTTGAGAGCCCCAAGTCTAAAGGGGTTGGGGATTTAGCTCAGTGGTAGAGTGCTTGCCTAGCAAGCGCAAGGCCCAGGGTTTGGTCCTCAGCCCTGAAATAAAAAAAAATAAAAAAAAAAAGAGCCCCAAGTCTGCATGAATATATGATGTCTACTGGATCTCACATCCGACTGCCAGCCTTCCCACATCTGCTTACCAGGAACAGACACCTTTAAAGGCAAAGCCAAAACTATGCCCCAGCCACAGTCTCCCAGCTCCGTTTGCCTTAAAATACTGTGTGTGAGCAGGGTATGGTGGTGTATGCCTATAATCCCAGCACCGGGGAGGCAGAGGCAGGAGGACTGAGAACTGGGGGCCAGCCTGGAGTGATCCTTTCTCAAAACCAAATCAAAGCAGAAGTCTATCTGCACGAGACCCATGTAGTGTCAGGGTGTGCACTAACTCAGGATTGACTACTCAGTGTCTTACAGCAGTGGTTCCCACCCTTGCTAATGCTGTGACCCTTTAATACAGTTCCTCATGTTGTGGTGAATTTTATGTGTTGCTACTTCATAACTGTAACTTCGCTACTACTATGGATCATAGTGTAAATATCTGTGTTTTCTGATGGTCTTAGGTGATCCCTGTGAAAGGATCATTTGACCCTCAAGTTGGTCGTGACCCACAGCTTGAGGACCTCTGTCTTACAGGCTCACAGTGTCCCTGTGTTGCCAGCACTAAGTAATTTACTTGATGGTAGCACAATGGCCAGGAAGCAAAAGTGGGATTTGAGCCCAGCCACATACTTGCCACTGTCTCCTGCCTTGGCGTCCCCTTCTCCCGGGGGCTCCTCCTCTGCCCAGCTCTGCCTAGTGTCCACTTCTGAGGTTCAGTTCACTTCCTTGCTCTGCTAAGATCCCTCTGCCTAGAGAACAGCATTTGGCTTTCTGAGATCCCAGATGTGGAGGGGGGCGGGGCACCCATTTCTGAAGACCTCCAGTCCCTGCCACTTTGCTAGCCATCGAATGGTCCAACTTTGCCACAAAAGCCCCTCCAACCATAGCTTCCCACTGTCTGCCAGGAAGAACTGCTGGGTATGGGGTTGAGGGTTGGTCACCCAGGTGGACACAAGACAAAGAGTGGCCTAAGTGTCAGCCAGTGGGGGTGCTGTTCGGGTCCCTGGGCATCAGTGATGGGCCCAGAGGTTGACGTCAAGTCAGGCCTATCCAATCAGAGAGTCTTGAGATTAGCGACAGGGCTGTACTTCTGGAGTGGAACTGGGGAGCCTCTGGCCAGGGGAGTTGGAACATAGGGAGGGCATGGTGCTACCCCTCAGCAGCACCCATCCTCTTCATCTGCCCAGTGATGCCAGGGCAACTCAACACCGTCTTCTGATGAAGCCTCCCTCAGCTGCTGCCAACCTAGTGTGGGGAGATAGGGACACAACTCAGGCCACCAACCCAAGGCGGTACCCAGCAAGACTCCTGGATTATCTCTCTCAGAGCCCAGGGGTCAAGTTCCGATACTTCTGTTTCTCCTAGCACAAAAAGAAGGCAGCCCCTCCCTTCAGGAGGGCCTCCAAACCTCCCTCCCAGGATGCTTCCCTCAGCAGCTCTGGTTACCACCTCCCTTTCGCCTCTTCTGTTCCCTGGAGCTTGCCTCAGCCTGCCTGCTTGCTCCCTGGTGGTGACTGCCAAGAGCCAAGGGTTTCGGTCTCTTTTCCTTCTCTCTGGTTTTTTGAGACTGGGTTTCTCTGTGTAGCCCAGGTTGTCCTGGGACTCACTCTGTAGACCACGGTGGACTCGAACTCAAGAGATACCTGCCTGCCTCTGCCTCCCGTGTACTGGGATTAAAGGTGTGTGCCCTCGCCGCCGCCACCAACCAGCCGCGATCTGTGGTGCTCACCTAGGACTTTAACCGTGTTCACTAAAGCTCTGCTGACCTTACGACATCCTTCCAAGAGGCATGGAGTCAAGGGAGTATGCCTCCTGTACCTTAGGGCTTGGGTCAGATGGCTTGTTGCTCCTTCCTGATCAGTAGCTGGCGAGATAAAACGGTGACAGTGCACATCCCTCCTGCCTGGTGAGGAACACATCAGCAGACCTCAAGTGGTAAGCAGTGAGTGTGTGTGTGTGTGTGTTGAGGGTAGGGGTGGGCTGCCATAGTGTCCTCTCTATCAGTCTTGTGCCCAGGCCCTTCCATGAGGGGCTGGGGTGGGAGGGAACCTATGCCCCTCCTGGCCTCCACATTCTCAACTCACTGGCAGCTGGAGCAGGGGAGAAAGCGTGGAATGGAGTGATGTGGGAGTCCTTAGACTCAGGCCTAGGGGTCGGCACCTGTGAACCCTTAGGCCGCTCCCGGATTGAGTGCCAGGCAACATAAGGCTGGGAACAGGATTGCCAGGTCTGCCTGGCTTTTGAGGTTAAAAAACGAAACACCAACCCAGGCTCTTCAATGTCTTCCTGGGCAAATGTTCGGCTTCACCAAACCTTCGAAGACTGGGAAATAGTTGGGTGACAGGAGGGCTGGACTAGAGAGGAGCCCCTGCTTCCCCTCCCTTCCTCCCTCCCGCTGGCCCCCACTCCTCTGCCACCTGCCTGCCTTCCACTCATTAATTCCTAGTCTTTAGGTTCTCCACTTATCTCCGGTGCTTAGTCGGGGATCTGGGACTCTGAACCCAGGTTCATCCTGTACAAGACACAGAGCTCTAGAGGAAGGATGCAGCAGCCTGACCCGGCATGTTCTGGGCAACATCGGGGGGCCAGCAGCCGAGTGCTGTGTCTTCCCACACGTGCCCTCGGTGCCGCCGGTCCTTTGGAGCTGGACGGGATTTGCAAACCATCCTATGCCCTAACACCTGGAACTCAGGCCCTTGTCTCCTCCCCGCCGACAAGCGGGCTCTGTCCCTGCCCAGTCAGAGGCTCTCGGGGAGCCTGAATGAGTGAGACCTTCCGCTCCCGCCTCCTCCCGCCCCCTCTAGGCTGTGGCGGGAGGGACGGGCCGAGGGCGGGGATCTGGGGCTGTACCCAACCGGGCCAGACGCGTAGCGCTAGCGAGCGCAGTTACAGCGGTTCCTGCGCCCCAAGTCTCGGCAGCCCCAGATCTCCGCGCCCCGAGTCCTGGCAGCCCCAGCTCTCCGTGGACCCCGAGGACTCCGGGACTCCGGCAGCTGCAGCTCTACGCGCCCCGAGGGTCCAGCAGCCCGGAGTCTGCGCGCGCACCATGTTGCCGAAGTGAGTCCTTTCGTGATCGTGTCCCGTGAGTGGAGTGGGGTGGTGGTGGATGGGGGAGCCGTGGGCTGGAGCCGGGGACCCACCCGGAGTCGGGGCTCAGAGCGCCCGACGGTAGCGCAGCGGCCCAATCGAGGCGCGGACGTCCCCTGTTCCCCACCGTCTCACCTGGACCTGCCTGCATGAACGGCAGGGGGCGGCTCGGGGCCAACCGGCTTGTACCGCCGACCAGCCGGGGCGCGTGGGCGGGCCGCTCGCTCGTGGGAGGAGGCTGGAGAGCAAAATCCGAGGCTGAAGGTGAAGACTCACACCAGTCTCCGGCACAGGCTTACTCGCCGCCGCCCTTCTCCCTGCTGACTTCCCAGAAGGAAGGATGTGTGCTACCTCAAAGACTGGCTGATACCCACCACTTGGGGACAGGGCGCCTCCTCGCTACACTTGGCATACTTCACAGATCCAGCTGGGCAGGGGGAAGTGGGAAGGGTGTGTGCGTGGTAGTTTTTGCACTCCGGCTTTTTGCTACAATATCTCCTCGGCACTTGTGCAAGTGGATACCCCGTTTCTCTTGGCTACTTGGTGAGACCCTCTGTCCACAGGTGTCCTACCTACAGAGTCTCCAGGGAGAGAAAAGGGAAGCACGTGCAGGCTGTGGAGTCCCTGATGGGCAGTGACTGGCTTGAGTTTGTGTGTGTGTGGGGGGGATCCCTAGGACGGAGGCACAATGGCTTGCCCGCCACTGACGAAGAAGGGTTTCTCTTGCGACAATCTCAGGAGCAGTTTCAGGACTGCTGTTGAGGGAGGGTGACGTTTCAGATGTCGAAGGTGCATGGACACCTGAAAAGCGTCTATGCCGCACTATAAGGTCTTAACCCCAAGCAGCGCCTGCATAGAACAGACAGTCTTGCAAGACTGGGCAAGTGCTGGGTAAAGTATTCAAGGTTGCTTTAGAGTAGGGTGAGGGACCTCCCCTTCCCCACCCCCTACTCACTCCCCCACCCCCTCATGTCCGTCCCCCCACACACACACACACTGGCAAGGCTTTCTGTGTGGCTTGTAAGAGGAGAGGACAAGGCTGAGTCTCCCAGGACACAAAAGTCTCTCGAGAGTCTGGGAGAAGCATCCCAGCCTCCAAGGGTCTGAAACATGGAATCTCACCCAGTTTGGTTTTAGACAGTTCTGCTCCTCACCTGGAGGATGCCTCCCTTGGGGCCATCAGGTGTCTCCATGTCATCATCACCTCAGATGCAGCTTCCTACAGTCTTGTGTTCCTCCTCTTCAGGAAAGTTAGGTCACGGGGAGGAGACACAGGGCTCAGCAGTGGTTCTCAGTGTCCTTTTTCATCACACAAATCAACTATCTTTCAGTGTGTGGGGGCTGTCAGGCTCTGGGGACTTGCTGTGGGTGGGGGGAAGGGAGGTGTATGGTCCTGGTTGGATTCTCTGAGGTCTCTGTGGAACACCAGCCAAGGGTCCTTCTACAGGGGAGTTCACATCTCTGACAGGTGTCCCCGTTTCCTGCCCTTGGGAACCAGCCGGCCGGTTTGGAAGAAGCAGCGTCTCATTTGTCTCTCAGGAGGGTTCTTTTCCAGTCCTGGTCTGCTCTTGCTGCTCCTCAGCAGCCTGCGGGCTGGTAAGTTGGGACGCTTCATGTTGTGCAAGGCATAGATGCAGGGCATTAGGGAAGCCCTCGTCACAGGCCCTCTGGCCTCTCCAGAGGCCCATTGGAGAGAGCGGGGACCACACCTAGGTTGATATACAGGGTTGGAGATCATAAAGGGAAGTGCTTTTCCAAACTCTATACTTCCCATTGCATTCCTTGCTTGGGGTCAATAGAATGTCCCTTTTGGTCTCTTTGCACGGTGAACCATAAAAGCCACCTTTGGGAAGAGCTGGGGGCTTCTTGCAAAGCCTGGGAGGGACCAGCGTTGGCACTAGGTGGAAGCTTGTACCTTACACCTGAGGTTGATACAAGACCCTCACCCACCCTCCTAATGAAGCTGAGTCATAAATTCCTTTCTTGCCTTGTTGGGTTGGGATAGGATTAGTGTTGGGATTGTGAGTGAGTAATAAATTGTGCTATTTTGTAATCTCTGCAGAGAGTGAAGTCGAGGAAATCCACGCGATGGTGGGCAGCGATGTGGAGCTCAGCTGTGTTTATCCCCACGGAAGCAATTTCAATTTGAGTGATCTGTATGTCTATTGGCAAATCGAGAATCACCACCCCAAAACTGTGGTGACTTACTACCTGCCTAATGGGTCTACAGGGATGTATGCAGACAACCACTACAAGAACCGGGCCCATCTGTCACTGAAACACATGGAGAAGGGTAACTTCTCTCTGAACCTGCAGAACGTCACCCCCCAGGACACCCAGGAGTTCACGTGCCAAGTGTTTAGGGAGTCTACAGAGTTAGGAAAGATCTTAACAAAGATGGTCAGGCTGCATGTGGCAGGTAAGACCCTCCAAGCAGAGAATGGGCTTTACTCAGCCTGATGCTCTTGAACATTCCTGAGGAAACCCCAGGCCAGCCTGTCTTTGTGGTGGGCTTCTGTTTACCTGCACAGCTCTGATCTGAGCAGAGTCCAAAACTCAAAGACCCCCTGATTTCAGAGAACTGCCTATCTAGCCATCTCTGTCTTCAACGGCCCACAAAGTAGATACTAAAAACGGAGGTAATGGGGAGTGGGGCGATGGCTCATTCAGTAGCGTGCTTATCATACTAACACGAGGCCCTGAGTTCAGTCCCAGCACCCATCTAAAGTCAGGCACAGTGGCATTCATTGGGTCCTAGCACCGGGGAGGCAGAGATAGGTGGATCCTTGGCTCACTGGCTAGCCAGCCTAGCCCACTGAGCTTTGGGCCAGTGAGCACCTTTGCCCCCTAAGAAAACAAAGTGGACAGCTGCTGTGGAACAGTAGAGGCTGTCCTCTGGCTTCTACGTGCGCTCCTACACGTGTGCACCCCTACACACGTGCACATGCAGCCCCCTCACACCCCCAGCATGTTCTCAAATGTGTACATACACAAGAAGTAAAGCGTGCTGGACATCTAAATAAGGTCGGCGGAAAGCCTAACTCCACCGAGGATTTGGTGGGGCGGCAGTATGTCCCCAGTGAGGAAAACTAGGTCCACCTGAGGGATCAGAGGTTTGGCATGGGAGCCGTCACAGCCCGCCACGCTCAGTGTTATTCTTCACACCCCTCCGTCCCCCACACCATGACTAGCTGCATTAATGACATTAAGTCTTGCAGCAATGTGACCAAAACGCCTGATACAGACAACAAAGGAACAGAGACATCCCATAGTTTCAGATTTCAGGCCATCCATCCTGGAGGGAGAGGCATGGAGGCAGGGCAGCACAGGGGACGTCAGGAGCGTGTGGCGGCGGCTGGCTCTTCAGCACACGGCAGACCAGGATGCAAAGAGAAGGGCAGGCTGGCTATCAGCTCTTTTTCCCTCCTTTTCAAATGTTTATGTGAATGGGTGTTTTGTCTGCATGCGTGTCTGTGTACTATGTGCATGCCTGGTGGCCACAGAGGGGATCGGATCATGTGGGGCTGGAGTTACAGATGGGTGGTTGTGAGCGTCTGTGCAGGTGCTAGGAATCCAACCCAAGTCCTCTGGAAGAGTAGCTGGTGCTCTGGACCATCCCTTCTAGCACCCCCTGTTCTCTTCTTATCCGTTCTCCCAGTGCATCATGGGAGTTAATTCAGTCAATCCTCTGGACCCCCTCATAGACATACCTAGAGGTTTGTCTAAGAGCAGGTGGGTTTCGTCCAGTCAAATTGGCAGCGAAGATTTAGCCGTCCGTATCTGTGGGGCATCCGGCCCCGCAGGCAGCGTGAGCTTCCTTGGCTTTGCTTTGGTGATGCTTCCCCACTGGTCTGAGCCTCCCTCACCACTGCCTCCTTTTCCCTGCAGCGAACTTCAGCACACCCGTCATCAGCACCTCCGGCAACCCCACCGAAGGCCAGGGACTCACCTTCACCTGCATGTCCACCAATGGCTACCCAAAGCCCAACCTGTACTGGATCAACAGGACGGACAACAGCCTGATAGACGAGGCTCTGCAGAATAACACTGTCTACTTGAATGAGCGGGGCCTATATGATGTGGTCAGCACCTTGAGGATCCCATGGCTGACCCATGTGAATGTTAGCTGCTGTGTAGAGAATGTGGTTCTCCACCAGAACCTCACCAGCATCAGCCAGGCAGGTGAGGCCTAGGCCGGGGTATAGGGATTCAGGGAGCATCCAGGTTGTGGGATAGGAGAGGCCCAGTCATGAATAGACTCCTTTCAGATGATCAGTAATCATAAAGTAGCAAGGAGCGCTCTTGGTTTCTGAAGGCAGGGATAGAGATTCCTGCTCAGGCCTGTCACAGTAACCTGTACTCACTGTCCAGACAAATGGTTAGCGTGGCTGTCATCCACAGCAGCTGTTTCTTGGGCTCTTGAACCAGTGATGACTGAGGCCCTGCAGGGCCTGGTATACCTCAGGAGCCACAGAACTTAACACTCCATGCGGGGGGAGCGGGGAGCAGCCTCTGGTCAGCACCAGGGTATGTAAAAAAAAAAAAAAAATCCATGAATGTGGCAAGGGTTAGACTTTCCTGTCTGAGGAGAAAATAAGGAAACACACACTTTCTGATGGTAACTTTCTCTTTTACTTCATCTTGAAAAATCCTCTTTCTGAAAATCTCTCCGTCTCTATATAACTACATTCTTATTCTTTTTTTTTATTATTTTTTATTTTTCAAGACAAGGTTTCTCTGTGTAACAGCCCTAGTTGTCCTGGAACTCGCTCTGTAGCCCAGGCTGGCCTCAAACTCACAGAGATCCACCTGCCTCTGCTTCCTGAGTGCTGGGATTAAAGGTGTGCACCACCACCTCCCGGCTTATAGCTACATTCTTTATATACATCTTATACATCTGCATATCTCTCTTTACATACATACATCTCTCTCCTGCATAGCCATACATCTCTACACAGTCAAATCTCTTTTCACGGAGCTATGTCTCTCTTCTATACACGTCTCTCTCTCACATATATCTTTACATAGCTATTATTCCATCTCTCTACACAGCTCTTTCTCCTACATAGCTACTTGGCTTCTTTCCACATCTCTCTCTTTTCCCATACCTCTCTCCTACACATATACATCTCTATCCTATAGACACACATCTCTTTTCTCTCTCCCACACACTTCTTTCTCTATGC